TAAACGTTGAAAAAAAAAAAAATTTAAAAAAAAAAAAAAGACAGAGAGACAGAGACAACAAAAAGATATCATGAGTCCCTAGGAGACGCCACGAATAAATGCTGGCGCCCACAAGGGCCAGAGGACCAAGCGTGACAAGCACCGTGCCACCCACGACGCTGCCCCAGGGACGCCAGTGCCCCAACGCCTCTCCTGGGCTTGAGTGCAAAATACGGGGCGGGGCAGGGGGGCAGCCACTGGCGGGGGTGCTGCCGCTCGCTCCCTGGGGTCTCCCGACTTGGGATGAACAGCCAGGTGGCAGGGAAAGGTGAAAGGACATGCGCCAAACACGTACTGATTTCGAGCTGCCGCTGGATTCGCCCTTTGCTGCGTTCACGGAAGTCCACCTGAGCCTCGTTGTATTTGGTCATCACCTCCACAAACTTCCGGGACAGGACGGAGTGCTGTGGGAACCATGCCAAGTGCGGTAAGCCCCCAGGAGCTGAAGGTCAGGGAGCCCCCACGGCGGCAGAGCCCACGTGCCCAGCCCCGCGTGGCTGTCCTGGCAACACCGGATTTGGAATCAGAGGAGCAGGTATAAGGCTCAACGTTCCGCTTTCCTCACTCACACCATCGGAAGGGTCCGCCGACCCTTCCAGTTCACCTGCCCTGCTGACCTCGCATGGTAATCATGGGGCCATGGGACAGCCCTGCATCCACACGACTTGCCGCCACCCGGGCTTGCTTCCTAAAGCTGCCAGACTCCCTTCCTGCATCCAACACCTGCCCAAATCCTTGAGTTCTTACCCAACCTGACCTCCCTAACGTCTCCCGCTTCCTGCTCAAAGCATTCGCTCCACAGCACTGGGTGTCTGCGTTCAAATCTTTACCGTAACTTTTATTCCTTGCCCAACTGTCCACATCAAGGCCTACTGGCTTCTCCTTTGCAAAATCACCAGTATTTGTACCCTTTGCAAACGCGTACTACCGGCACGCATATTCAGGCCAGAATCACTGCAGAAGCCCAGCAAGAGACCCACTGGCCTCTCGCCCCATCCCCACTCTGGTCCAGCTTTCAGGAGGTCCCCGGACTATCTCCTAAGAGACTACAAGCTGAAGCAAATGCACACAGGCTACATGATCATATCCAGGTTCCCTAGGCAGGTAGGTATTCAGAGGCCTCTGGACCACAGAGCCACATCCTCTATCAAAACCCCGCAGCCACTCGCCCACAACCAGCTTTTCTCTCCAGACGGGCTGTTCTCTCCATGCCAGCCCCTCCTCCCCGCCCCACCACCGTCACCACCC